TGTATATTAAAATGAATACAGGTATAATACCAATAAAAAAAAATGCCAATCACAGCAATTTAGTGATTGTAATTTCTTCATAAAAAACACTGGTTATCTTGACATGCTCCTGAGCCAATTTCATAAAATAAAATTACTTTTGTATGTACATTTAGTTAAAAACAAAAGGACAGATAATTTCCTAATGCGAAACAGATAATAACTACAAACCGATTGGGCGTGCAGGACTTTGGTCACTTCTGCAAAGGCTGCAATCCGGGCAAGTAGATTCATGATATTCTAGAATTAAATGAAACAACTGAATTAAATATAATTTTAAGTAATATAAATAAATAAATACAAATGCTTAAATAATCTTTAACATAATAGCATGTATAGAGAAAAATATGCATACAGTTCATTTTCTTCATTTGGAAATACAAAAATAAATGTGCTGTAAATGTTCCTTGTAAAAAAATGTATGAGTTAATGAATTATTGTGTAAAGGGTCTGTAAATCAGTGAAATCATTAGATTTATCTGTGTTTCATCAATTAAATCTATATTAATCCTCAGTAATATTGTGCATTAATAAAATACATATTTTCCAATTGGATGTAATGTTCAAGCTCCAGTTGTCACACATTGAAATTTGTTTGGATTTATTAAGTGATTGATTCAATGATATTCTTGAGTATTAAACTTTGCCAGTCTCTTTATATTAAATTTAACTATAGAAAAGAAAAAAAAGAATAGTAAAGTGGACAACAACTAGCCTATTATTTTAGTCAGTCTCTTTATTTTTAACTAAATTTAACAATAGAAAAGAAAAAAGAATAGTAAGTGGACAACAACTAGTCTATTATTTTAGTCAGTCTCTTTATTTTAAACTAAATTTAACAATAGAAAAGAAAAAAGAATAGTAAGTGGACAACAACTAGCCTATTATTTTAGTCAGTCTCTTTATTTTTAACTAAATTTAACAATAGAAAAGAAAAAAGAATAGTAAGTGGACAACAACTAGCCTATTATTTTAGTCAGTCTCTTTATTTTTAACTAAATTTAACAATAGAAAAGAAAAAAAGAATAGTAAGTGGACAACAACTATTATTTCTACTGACACAACAAGTCTGGTAATAGATTATACCTTTCAGGAAGCTCTCCTGGTATTTAGTCACATCCATCCGTTTGGATTTGGAACAAGGAACTTTCGGTTTTTGGCAATCTTCAAATGGATGCAGATGTGGTTTGTCACGTTTACATTGATCACATGCGATAGCAAATTGGTAGTTCAGACCTTTTGCCCATATTGTACAGATGTCACCAAAACAATCTTTTAGTAACTGGTACACCTGTAGGATTTTAAA